CGCATAGGACAACATGAGAGCAGCCCAGTTCAAACAAGCACATTTCGAAACTTGTGAATGAGAAATGCAGGCTGATCTGCTGGCATTTAAAGTCGCTTTTAAAAATAACTGCTATTCCACCTCCTTTTCGACCAGACGACCGGGGGGAATTAAAATAGCAGCAATCCGGCGGGCAGAGTTCAATAAGAGGACTGGACTCACCGGTACTCAGCCATGTCTCCGTCACACAGAGAAAATCCAATCCACGGGACATGAAGAAATCCTTCAGGATAAAAGTTTTGTTTGCCAGTGATCTGGCATTGACTAGGCCGAACCTGGCAGAGATCGGCACATCCGAGGCATCAGCTGATCGCGGAGCCCGACACAGGGCCCGTAGATGGCGAGGATTCACCCCACGCCGGCGGGGACGAGGAGAGCAGGGGCCGCGGGGACGGACCATCCCATCCGAACCGACGACCGGTACCAGCCAGGAGTCGACAGGGTGCAGCGATCGCAGATGAGGAAAGAGACCAGATCCCACTCCATTTCTCCTCAGGGAAACCACGGAAGATCGAGCCAAGAGAGATTTAACTTTCACCAGCCGGCCGCTGCGTTTGCCACGGCGGCGCCGGCGTTTACGCCGTGGAAATGGAGCGAAAGTGCAGCGAAGGTGAGCAGGTATACCGGAGGGGTGAAACGGCTTAAACGTCGTGTGACCACAGTGATCATGCTCTACTTTCACCAAATCCTTGGCAGAGGGGCGAAGATCCAGCAGTGTTTGGTGGTCATACACATACAGTGAGCTTACTTTACTGATAACGAAAGACACAAACAGCACAAACAGGAACAGCACTGACAGCGAGAGACGGCAGGCCACACACACCGGCGCCATCTCCACACACCGGCGCCATCATGATGCAGTGAAGTATTTTTGAACAGAAACAGACTGATGGATTTCCCAGCCGACAGATGAGACACAAAAGGATCCACTGATTGCAGAATAAATACAGAAACAAGGACTTGATAAACAGCGTTTGTTGATATGTTTGTAGCTTTCACCAAAAGCATGATGGGACATTTAAGAGAGGACAGGGATGGGGCGTGGGATCCAATCATTGCCGGATTGATTTTTCACAAAACCAAGAGAAACAATTACAGGCCTGAGTGCAGCATGTGGGGGGGGGGGGGGTGTCGGTGTTAAAACACGTAACAAGAAGCAGGGGTGTGCTATCGACCCGGGCTCATTCCAACACATTGATGAACACTTTGTATTAAAAGGTGGTAAATTGCTCTTGTCTGCGGTCGAGTGATGCCTTGTGGGTAAGCAATAATAAACAGGATGGTGTTGAGAGAGTGAGCGGTAGAACACAGCACTGGTAGGGACAATCAGATGTCCAAACGGGACACTGTGGCATCAGGCTGAAGCAGGGGATGAAAAATGGATGAAGGGATCAATCGAGAGAAAGAGCAGAATTAAGAACAAAGAAGGCCTGGCTTAAGGTCCTTACACACCAGGCGTGAATTCACCATGCAAATTATTCGCCTTTTTTTAAACAGCATAAAGTAAATGCAAGCTTCCACACCAGCGGCGACTTTTATTTTTTCGCTCTTGTGTCGAATATTTCAGAGATTCGGAGGTGAATATCTGGACCTGCTAGACCTCTGGCCAATCAAAAGTCATGTTGTTGATGACGTCACAGACCCATGAGGCTGCAGTTCACACGACACACACCACCACTGGCACCAAGAGCAATGATGGGAGAGAAGCTGGTAATTGCGGTACAGGACCACTGGATGGTGGTGTGGAACTTGCCCATCTCCTTCCTCTAAGTCAATATGGGATGTACCCAAACACTCCTTTGTTTATTCTTCTGTCTTCTTTTTTTTTTGCCAAAAGCATCACAAAGAGCTCATCATCGCTTGAGGATGTTGTTGACTCAATTTCTTTGTTCTCCTCTCCTCCGTGGCGCGAAAGAACTAGCGCCAAAGACAATATATATTTATTAATTTGCTTTGCAAAATTTATACGCATATTCACTTCGCGCCCGGTGTGTATAGGCGAAAGGGATTTTTCGTACAGGTGAATATTCGCATTTTCGTCTCGCTTTTTCGCTTCACTTCACAAATTCGCTGGTGTGTAAGGACCTTTAGAAAGCAGCTTTTAAAGGCCCCTGGTAGACTGGGTCCACGTGACAGGTCTGCAGCAGACAGGGTGGAGGGTCCAACGCCGAAAACACTTCCGCATTTCATGAGAAGCAGTTATCAGCTCCATGCTGAAAAAGAGATGATGTGGCATTAAAGAGTAATACAGTCTCTAACCTTGAGTTTCCATGAAAACAAAAATAAAACCCCAAACAAGAACTGTATACAAGGGAAACTCTTTCAAACTATTCTCACTTCTTCTGCTCGTCATCCTCAGACTGGTTTGCAAATCATTATTCATCATGTTCAGGGTCTAACAGAGACACAGTGTCCTGCACTTAGCCAAGGACTTAAACTACAAAGAGCTCATGTCTCTTGATGCATTTATACCTGCTTAATTTGAATCACCTGGCAGTGTTAAATACTTGATTCTGATTGGTCAAAAACACAATTTCAACCTGAGACAACCAATCACCAACAGAGAAAAGGAGATGAGGACCAATGAAACACACGATCAGCTGACTGAGATGGGCGGGATCCAGGTTCTGGCAGTTGTTGCAGCTGCTGTGTGCCTGCTGCAGGAAGTGTAGTATCTATATAACACTGATCAAAAGTGGCAAGATGGATTATTGACACGGTTTGACCCTTTCTTGTCTGGTTGCCCTGGCTGCTGCTCTCTGCTGAAACCATTTACAGCGACTCAGAAATCAAGTAGTCCAGCTTTTCAGGGCAATGTTTGACTCCTACGGGCAGTCTGTGTTTCACACTCAGTCAAGTACACTGAGGTGTTTATGTGTTTACTGGGCTGGACTGGATCTGTTCCTGTGAGTGTATTATTTGATGTTTGTGTCCCAACATCCACTTCCTGTTGCCACCTCATGTTTGTTCATTTTTTCCTGTTCTTCCACTTTTATCCTCTCGTCTAGTGTTATGTCGTTCATGAACGTTTCATTCAAAGAACGAAACTTTTGAGTGATCGATGTGAGTAGAATCACTCCTAGACCTGATTCGTTCCTTTCTCAGTTCAGTTGAGCCAGCCAGTGAGTGGGCAGGCGGAGTCTCGTGATTTGCTCACAATTTCAGCCGATTTAAAGCAATACGCTATTTGATATCTTTAATCTCTCCACTTTTCCGCCATGTAAAAGAACAATGACTCGTGTTTGTTTAGCAGGAGTGCTGCTTGCTGCTGTGTTGTTTCCACCTACGGCAACACACAGAGAGGTGTGACTTCAGTAGGGCTGCAGCTATCGAATATTTTAGTAATCGAGTATTCTACTGAAAATTCCATTGATTAATGGAATAATCGAATAAAACATATTTTTGTTTAGTTAAAGAGCAATTATAAATATACATGAGAAAATAAGACATTTTACCTAATAATGAACCATTGGTCTCCTTTTTCAGACAATGTCTTTAGTTTTAGATGCACATTGTTTAAAACAGCCAAAACAATTGCATCTCAGGAAATGTGACTAGAAAAAAATAAATAAATGAAACACAAATATAAAATAAAATAACTTTTAACTTAGTGTATTCTTGTAAGTACCAAAAACATTTTGCATTAATAAATAAAGGGGAAAAAAAAATACGTTGGCTACAAGTAACAGGATTTACAGGCATAACAATCTTCTCCTGTGGGATTCTTTGTGGCATAGCGGAGGCAAAAACTTTTCAACTAAAATGAGTCCATGCATCAATAGTTCCACACATTTCTGTTGTGAGTGCAATATGCGGCAAAATCGAAGCAAGGGCCGCACCTTGTTATCTGTATCTCTCATGGCATGTGTGCAAACCTTTAAAAGGAGCACTTTATTGCAATGAAGGAAGGTAAGCATATCAACATGCTCAGGGCTGAGGCTTGCCCTCTTCTTTGATACTATGTTACCTGCAGCTGAAAACAGATGCTCTGATGGTGTTGTATGGCTGGAATACACAGCAGGGACCTTGCCAGCTCTGCCAATTTTGGATAGCATGCTGCATTCTCTTCCCACCAAGTCAGTGGATTCTCCTTCTTGGAATGGGGATGTTCTCCAAAATACATGAAGACCTGTGGAATAAGTGTGACAACAATAATATTAAAAATGTTTTATTTATACAGTATTTTGCACTACTTTCAGTTGTATTACAGCCACTATTTGTAGTACAATTTTTCTATCATCATTTTTGTGAAAATTGGAGCCAAAATTTAAAATTAATATTTCCTTCACCTCCTGATGTACAGCTCGGAGTAACTGCGCCTCCTCATCTTGTTCTTCGACACTGGTGGTGGAGTGTGAGTCAAGGAATGATGTAGTCCTCTTGGCATGTGCTGCTGGTGGAAAGTCCTGTGCTGTGCTTTCTGCTCCATGTTTACTTGCAGTGGGCTGCCTCAATTGCTGTTTGGCTGCAAGTGCCATGGCTCATACTGTGCTTTGGACCTTGACTGCTTCCTCAGCAGCCAAGAACCTCAGTTTTTGAAACCTGGGATCCAGAGCAGCAGCAAGTAGGGTGATGTTTGGAGATTCAGGAGTAAATTCAAGTAGTCCTTGCCATCTTTCTGTGACCTGTTCTGTTGCATGACCTGTTCTGTTGCATGAGTCTAGAATGGACAACATGGCATGAGTGCTGTTCTAGCGTGTGGAGACATCTTGCACAAGCATGTTGTCCTTGCAACCCTTTTGTTTCTGCTTGTCCTTCAACTTGGTGCATGCCAGTTCACTCTTTTTAAAGTGTTCAACAAGGCTTCTCGCAGCAGCAACACACTTGGAGATAGCCTGGTTGAATTTCAGCGAGCTTTGCACAACCAAGTTGAGGGTGTGTCCTGCACATCTCACTGATGCCCATCCGTATCTTCCTTTCAAAATCTTTGCTGCTGCTACGACATTTTGGCGTAGCAGCTGCTACGCTGCTATGATTTTCTTTGCTGGAATTTCAAATTTGGCAATCACCTCCTCAATCCACTCTGCCATATTTGCAGCTGTGTGTCTCTCCTCAAGGGGCATCGTCGTCAGGGAGTGGGACACCATGTTCCAGTTCTTCCCCATATAGTGGCATGTCACCCCCATATAAGCCTCCATTGAGATGCCTGTGCAAATATCAGTAGTGAGTGCAATGCTGTCAGTCTCTTGTAGAGCCTGCTTTATCTTGGCTTTGATGACTTCATATTTTTTCTCCATCTGTTTTGTGAGGAAAGATCTTGATGGAAGCTTGTACTTGGGATGGACCACCATCCTCCACCATGCTTAGTGGGCACATGTCTGTGACTATCATGTTTAAAAATGCTATTTGTAAGTTCAGCTGCTAGCTCAGTGCTACATAATGGTGCTTTGTAGATTAATTTGTCCATGCGAGACTGTGATGATTTACTGAAAAATAAGAAAAAAAATTGTTAATTGACATTGCTAAGACTAAATGATATAATACAGTAGGTTCATGGCTGTGCATTTAAACACCCTGAACTTACACCAGCTGACCAAATTCAATGGCTTCACTCAAAAAACTAAGGATCTTACCAAGAAATTTTCTTATTTCTAACATGCCATTACACCTGATAACACATATCACCTAAAGGTTACACTGCAAAAAAAAAACACTACAAAAATTAGCAAAAAAATATATAATACAAGTTGAATTTGGATTGAAATAAGCAAAAAAATCTGCCAATGGAACTAGTATGTTTTATCTTGTCAGGATTTCTTGAAATAAGATGCAATATTTGGCTTATCAAGACAAAAAAATACACCTTGAAATTAGCTGGGAAAACTCATTGTAAGCTTTATTAACTGTTAATAAGTTCTGATATTTGATCAAATATTAGCTGGAAATACTCAAATGTAGCCTGTCTTACTAGTTTTAGGAGATGCTTTTTGTATCATAATAAGACCTTTTGTCCAGTTTGGCAAGCCTCTACATATCAATTTAAGGGTATTCAACTTATTACAAGCTCTACAAAAGTTGTAATATACTAGATATAAGACCCAATACAAGTGTATTTAACTTATTACAAGCTTTACAAAAGTTATACTGTACTAGATATAAGACCCCTCACCTCCTCCAAATAAGGTTGTAATGATTAAAACAAGTCTTGCATTAAACAGTAAAATATTTATTTTCACAGCATTGTACAGTGCAGTGTAGTGCAGTTTGACTGGAGCACCATTCACCCTTCCCTCCAACCACTGGCTGGACAGAGGCCTCATTCATTAACAACATAAAAAATATATTGCACAATGCTTCCAATATAATGTATACTGTATAACAATGTAACAAAAAAGAACATGTCATATTTGTATAACATTGTCATACATATGACCAATGCTTAAATACACCATATAAACTAAGTGCTTACTGTATGTTTAAACTCAACATATAATGGCACTGCTGTAAAGGCCAAGAACAGGGCAAAGAAATGCTCAATTGAAAATCAATATGCTACCTCATCAACTTACAGTGGAACTTCTCTCAAAGTCAATTTTTTAGCACATAAAACAAACACAAACCAAGTTGATTCAGACAATGAACATCCCAAAACCCAGTACTGTTTATCTTGAAATCAATAATCAACATGAAGCTGATGTTTCAATTTAAAAGTGAAAACTACTGGAATTGGTGATATTGGAATCTGTTTTGTTAGTTTTTTTTTACATTCTAAACGAAATACAGTGATATCTGTCACCGAATAATGCCAGTCAATGGGATTGAATTATCAATTTCTTAACAATGAAAAAAATGGTAACTATATAACCCAAACTTCAAACAAAGTGGTCTTGGCCTTTGACAAGTCAGATATCACAAAACACAAAAAGGACCACCGTTTGTATGACAGAAACCAAAGCATTATGACCAATGTCATATCCCTAATATACGATACAAAGTGCTTCATGTTAAACCAATGCCGTTACTTTAACTTAAAATATACAATAACACAAACAGCAGGTCAATATAGAGTTGCCCACGGCTATCCTCAATATAACCAGCAGTGCAGTAACATTTCAATTAAACAGTTTGGATAAAATGTACTGCTGGGTTCCCTAAAATTGCTGGGCTACACAAAATTAAAGGCACAGGATTGCAGCAGCCTATAACACAATCAGCGTGGCTTGAAAAAGGATGGGTGGGGGGGACTAAAGTACTGCAAAAGTCCTAAATCTGCCTATTGCCTTGGGTTGTTGAAAGCTTTCCAATCAGCAATGGCCTTCTTGTAAGAAGGAGTGAGGTCTCCCTCATGGATTTTGTCCAAGAGGACTTCTGTTTGTATGACAGAAAGCAGAGTGGCTACACACTTGGGGTATGTAAGGTGTATGGCATAATAGTTGGCCATAAGGTACAAAACACCATCCACAGCCTCACATCTTAAGAGTGTATGTATGGGCTCATCCCCTATAGCCAGGAGGCAGTTGGACTCACTCACAAGCAGCACAGGACAGGACAGAGGACGCTTCTTCAAGTAGGCATTGGGGTCTTTGTCCTAAAACACAAAAGCACACACATGCACACATCCCTTCTATCAAGTAATGGACTTTTGTTTCAAGGTTCATTTCAGTCTTCTTTTTATAATAGAAAAAAGGCCAAAATAGCCGAGACACGCACCTCAAATGGGAAATATGGCTGGGTGCTGGATCCAAACAGTGATACTTTAAACAATAAAAACAGTCTGCACACCAATTAAAGTAAGCAAGTAAAGGAAGCAGTGAGTTAATAAAATTGGCGTGCAGACTCTTTTTATTGTTTAAAGTCTTCTTTTTCAAACCTAAGCCAGCAACATCTTTGTTAAGTTAAGACCTTCACGTTTAACTATTTCAACATGACAGGCTGTGCTTGCTTTGAACAGATAGTGTAAAATTGTACACAGCTCACCTCCAGGACATACACTAGAGCCTCACTCGGGTCTCGCCGTAGATGGAGAGGGGAACAGTGATGGCAGTGCACGGAGGATCATGAGAGCATTTTCAACTGTAGAGGAAAAGATTCATTACATTTACACATTGAAATGCACCCTGAATCTGGAACAGCTAAATTTAAAAACTGAATTTTATGATTTGACAGCCATCGGTGCTTACTTTTGGTCACGCCATAAAACAAGACCTTCTGGCAGAAGTCGTGCCATCTTTCTTTCAGTTCAGCAATGTAGTTGCTGTTGTTCTTGTCCACGATGCGGCGAAGTTCCTCCATCACCTGAAATATTCAACATATAATACAGATGTTGAATTTAGGGGAGGAAATTGGCAAAACATGCCATGGCATATGTTTTGAATTATGTCAACAATCACTTACATGTCCAATGACCTGAAACAAGGATATGCCTCTATGACATTGTAGTATCTGCTCTCCTCTAGAGTGGAATCTAAATCGATGATGGCTCTTCTGGCTTTAATTTCCAAATCCAGGAGCTGCGAGACAGCTTCGTGGTTTGGATTTTTCTTTTTGAACAAAGCCTGCAGAGTTTTGTAGTGCTTGGCCATGGTCTTTGGACTGTCAGAGTCAGAACCGTCCGGTCTGGTGACATGTTGATTTCTGCTGACACACAAACATACACATAATTGAACCTTTAATAAAATGAATATAAAAATCACTACCTTTAATATGTAATGCTTCTAGTCAAACCAGAATGCACATTTGCTAATACTAACCCTTAATACTAATTGTACTTATGACTACATCATGAAAACTATTTTTACACAAGTTGAAGGCAAAACTAATAAGAAAAAAATGTGTAAATATAAATTTAAAGGCCACCTCTTTCTTCAATGGCAGAGTCCGTAGCTGTATTCTCTTCTGAGGATGGGTCTAGAATGATGGTCGAGTCACTTGACGGAGTTGATTCCATTTCATCTGTGTCAATTGTCTGCTCAGGATGGGGCATCTTTTGCTTGAGATGGCGCTTCTTTGAAGGTCTCCCATCTGGAAAGGTCTTTTGGGGGGATCTCACGTTTTGCAATCTTTGGAAGAGCTGTCCATACACAGTAGCCTGTAGAGCACAAAAGTAAAAGCATTCATTACTCCTTTAAAATTATAAACACTTGAATCGTCAACTTGATATATTTCACCTACCCATGTGTTCTTTTTGCCCAGGTCCTGCAGCATGGGGTAGTACTGGACTATTCTTTTTGCCATAGCTTTAACCTCTGGCTTTGATGGGTATCTGTCAGACTCAGCATCCCCCTTTGCCCTCAGGATTGCGATCATACTGGTCATGGTGTTACGGATGAGCCGGCATCTGAGGTCCTTGGACATTTGGCAGTTCTGCTCTTCACCCTTCTTCGCCAACTCAAAGTATTCTTTTCTGGCGTGTTCAAGTTCGGTGTCTGTGTGGACAACATAATCTGGGAAGAATAACTTCACAACCTTTTCAGGGGTTGAGTGGGGGGCAATTGCTTGAACCAGTGTGGAGGTCTGTGGCAGGGGTGACAGGGGTGGCGGGGGAGTAGAAATGATCGAGTCTTCTCGGCCGGGTTCCTAAAAAATAAAAGATTATGAAGTAGTGGCAAAATACACATTTCCTTTTTTCCTGTGTTAACTAGTAAATTTTTCATTCATCTATAGGCAGGCTTGGAGAATGCCAAAGATGTTCCCTCCTAAAGTTAAACTACCTGTACCTATGTAACACTTTAATTGAACTTACTTTCTGTCCAAAATGGTTTAACAATTGACCACTTTCTTAGGCCATAGCCACTGTTCCTAAATGTCTGTGTTGATTCTAAGAGGGGATTCACATCAAGTCAGAAGTAAGTGAAGCGTATCCAAGGTTCACTAGAACTCTCAACCCCTTTCCCTCTCTGCCCTTTTTTCCAGAAGGCTCAGAACATTTTCAAGGTAATTTTTCTCTACGGTTTGTGCATCAAATGCCAACATCCAATACACCAAATGAATCACAAGAACGTGCTCTAAACATGGAACAGTAGTAGAGCAACTAAACCATAAACCGTTCATGCCAATCATACAAAAAATGGCTTGCCATTTGGACAGTTTAGGGTTTAGATGCTCTACTAGTAGAACATGGAACAGTAGTAGACTACTACTACTACTACAAATCATCAATGATTTGCCATGCAACTACTTGCAACCAGGATCCTCAAAGGCAGTTGCATTGATGTGACATATCTTAAATCTGTTAAGTTTTGGATGAGTTGCATGGCAAATTATTGGTGTGGTGTGGATTCAAGTCATGCACAGTAGGTTGTCACTTAATTTTGTAGACTGACCTCAACGTCACCATGACATGAATCCCAGATTGCTTTCCTCCTCAAGAAATTTTCTGGGCCTGGCAAAAGATCCTTCAGGTCCTCACGAGTCAGGGTGCCCATCAGAGCCTCACTGATGTTTGCAGCTGTAGGAAAATACATGTACTTGTGTTTATTTAACTTGTGGGGAGTCTCGTTTGAATTCAATATTAAAATCAAATATTGCCACCTAGTTGCTGGGTCAATTTGAGTCAATTTGAATTTTTAATGTTTGAGAACCCTTGATATAAGTGACAGGTTGTGGTGGTTATCATTTTGTTCTGAAGCAGCAATATGGCGGGCACAAAAGTGCGCACATCTACAAGTTCACACAGCGTCCTCCATGCGACGGAACGTAAACTTGTAAATCTGTGTTTTTGCCCACTACAACCAGGGGCAAGCATCACACGTATCTGACATTATACGTTTAAAAAATATTTCCACGCATTACCCCTCAAAGTGGACACGGCGACATCGTCCAAGCAGCTGGCCATGTTGTTACTAGCTAGCTGGTTAGCTTAGCTTGTTGCCCCCCGCAAACAACCTGTGTACAAATAAGTAGCACTTTGAAAATTTAACATGCAAAACGTATGGAGAGTCAACTTCAAAAGTAAAGCCAAATGGTGCATGTCACTTACCAGAAATAACGCAAGGATAAAATCCATTTGAATCGGTAAAATCGTAATAAAACAAAGTCGGCGTTCGATCTCTCGCAAGGTGGAGGTGTGCTGATACAGACATCAGCGGAGCCGCGTTACCTTCTTCTTCTTTGTTATTTAACGGCAGCTTGCATCCATTAGTTGCATTGCTGCCTCCTGCTGGATCTTCACAGCACTACATAGTTATATCCTTTGCATCAATTTTGTGGTGGTTAAAAACTCAAACAGCCAGCGTTTGCCTCTCCCCCTCCTCCCCGCCTCCAAGAGAGCTGCAACTGTCATCTCCTTAAGCCCCACTTCCCGCATCTTTTCCATCAGTACCTGCCTCTCCCAGTTGTAACAACTACAAGAAATAAAAACATGTTGCACTGTCTCTGACTCCTGGCATACAGAGCACAATCCGTCTGGGTGTTTTCCAATCAAAAACAGTGAACTGTTCAACTGTGTGTGACCTAACTTCAACCTAGAAAATGTAACTTCCTCCTTCCTCCTCCACCCAGCCCCTTTACCGACACCCATAGAATTGGAGACAACTCCAGTTATTGAAAATAAATGTCTTCCTTTATTCTCCCTCTCCCATCGATGTTGCCACTGTTGAATTATCTTCTCATACACCACACTTTTCTTTTTTTTAATAATGTTTTTATTGGATTTCCAGTTTTAAACATACAAGACACATAACACTCAAAACACATACTACACAATACAATACAGTAAGGGAAACGGGACAAGATTGTGCAAACCCCAACATCTATCAACCCCACCCACCCACCCGCCCGCCCTGGGGGGAGAGGAATTGAAAAAAGATTAGATAAAGAAAAGGAAAAAAAAAATAAAAATAAAAAATATGAATATAATAACTATGATAATGATAGTAGTAATTATAGTGGTGATAATAATACCACAGAGTAAAGTAAGAGGGGAAAAAATACTAAGAGCTCAGTCAATTGAGGTCAAGGAGTTGATATATGAGAGGAATGGGTCCCAAGTTCTATGGAAACCAGTCAAGGAGCCTTTAATTGGGAATTTAATTTTCTCTAGGTGAAGAAATGATGACAAATCTTTTAGCCAGGATGTCGTGGATGGGGGGTTAGGGCTCTTCCATTGGAGCAGTATGCGTCGTCTAGCTATAAGAGAAGTAAATGCTATCGAATCTTTCTGACACCTGTTTAAGCTACCCACCGTAGGAGACACACCAAATATGGCAATTAGTGGACATGGAAGAACTGATACACCAAGGATCGCCGAAATGGTATCAAAGAAATGTGTCCAAAAAGAAGAAAGCTTTGGGCAAGAAAAAAAAGTATGTGTGTGATCTGCAGGTGACATCTAGTGCAAGAGTCTCTAACATCGGGAAACATTCTGCTCAACTTGGCCTTAGTACAGTGTAGCCTGTGTACAACTTTGAATTGAATAAGACACATGCGGGCACATGCACAGGAAGAATTAATTCTGTGCAGCACTTCACTCCACAAATCCTCCCCCAGGTTGATCCCAAGTTCCCCTTCCCACGTGTCCTTCAACTCGATTAATGAGGATGCTTGGGAAGAATTAAGGCTACTGTAAATTGAAGAAATATTCTTAAAGGTATCAGATGGGGCCATTATAATTTCCAGAATATGTTTTGTCGGTAGGCTTGGGAAAGTTGAAAAATGGGTATTGGCAAAATTGCGTAGTTGAAAAAATCTAAACAAACTCATGTTTTGTATATCGTAGGTCATGGCTATGTCCGTCATACAGCTAAAAGTTCCTTCAATGTATAGGTCGCCGAAAGAGACTAAGCCCTTCTCCTTCCACTTGGTGTATGTTCTGTCTAGGGAAGAAGGTATAAACAAATGGTTGTTACAGATAGGGATAAGAACTGAGGGAGATTTAAACTTAAAGTGTTGTCGAATTTGGTTCCAGATTTTTAGCGAAGAGAGGATGACAGGGTTATTGGTATATTGGGAATACTTGGTTGGTAAGGGGGCAAAAAATAAGGCAGGGAGAGAAGATTTAATACAAGAATTTGCCTCCATATTACACCAATTGATCTGAGGAGAGTGATACCATTTCTTGATCATTTGGAGGTTTGCAGCCCAATAGTAAAACAACATATTGGGCATAGCAAAGCCGCCATCCTGTTTAGGTCTCTGCAAAACCGACTTAGAAATTCTTGGTGTCTTACGTGCCCAAATAAAGGATGATATAATTGCTTCCAGTGATTTGAAATATGACTTGGGCAAATAAAGGGGTAGGGTCTGGAAGAGGAAAAGGAAACGCGGTAAAATGTTCATTTTAATTGTTTCTATCCGACCCACAAGAGAAAGAGGTAGTTTATTCCATCTTTTGAGATCGGTTTTGATCTTATCAATTAGCTTACCATAGTTCTCCTTATGTATTGAGTTAAGGGTATGGGAGATAACAACACCAAGATATTTAAAACCATCTTGAGAAAGGTGGAAGGGGAGCGTACCAATGGAGATGGATTTAGCCGGGTTGTTAACAGGAAAGCATACGCTTTTTGGAATGTTTAATTTATAACCGGAGAATTCTCCAAATGTTTTTAGCAAATTAACAATATTGCTAACGCAGTTAACTGGATTCTGAACAAACAAAAGCAAGTCATCTGCGTATAACGCCACCTTGTGTTCGGCCCCTCCTCTTTGAATGCCTGCGAATAAAGTGGAGCTTTTCAAAGCGATAGACAGTGGTTCTATAATTAACGCAAATAATAAAGGTGACAGAGGGCAGCCTTGGCGTGTGCCTCGTGTTAAGGCAAATGGTCGGGATATATTATTATTGGTTTTAACACTAGCTAGCGGAGCAGAATATAAAAGCCGAACCCAGGAAATAAATTTTGAACCGAAGCCAAATCTTTGTAGTACAGAAAATAAGTATGGCCATTCAACACGATCGAATGCGTTTTCTGCGTCTAATGATATGATTATCTCTGGCACCTGTGTAGTAGAGGGAGACAGAACAGCATTCAAGAGTCTGCGTATGCTGAATGGTAACTGGCGACCCGTGACAAACCCTGTTTGATCCTGGGAGATCACACTGGAAAGACATGGATCAAGCCTGGTGGCCAACACCTTAGCTAAGATTTTAACATTGTTATTTAACAAACTAATGGGCCTATAGCTGCTGCATAGTCTGGGGTCTTTGTCTTTCTTCAGAATTACAGATATTAATGCTTGATTTAAAGTAATAATAATAATACATTTTATTTGTAGAGCGCTTTTCAAAAAACACAAAGACGCTGTACAGAGTTAAGCAATAAAAACACACATCAATAAGTAATAAAATTTACGGCAGTATAATAAAAACATGTAGAATCGGGTAAAATCTAAATAACAATAAAACACGCATCAATAAGTAATAAAAATTTACGACAATGTCAATAAAAACATGTAGAATCAGGTAAAATCCAATGGGGGGGGGGGGCTAGGAAGGATGAAAGGCAGTGCGGAAGAGGTGAGTTTTGAGAAGGGTCTTGAATCTGGTGAGGTCGGTGCAGTTTCTGAGTTCGAGTGGGAGTGAGTTCCAGAGGTTGGGGGCGGCGACTGAGAAGGCTCTGTCCCCCCAGGTTCGGTGCTTGGTCAGGGGAACTGTGAGGAGGTTGGCATTGGCGGAGCGGAGGGTGTGGGAGGGGATGTAGGGGTGGAGAAGATCCTGTAGGTAGGGGGGGGCGAGGTTGTGGAGTGCTTTGTGGGTGAGGAGGAGGATTTTGTATTGAATGCGATGGGGTATGCGGAGCCAGTGAAGGTTTTGGAGGACGGGGGTGATGTGTTGATGGGAGCGTGTGTGGGTGAGGAGGTGGGCGGCTGAGTTCTGGATAAGCTGAAGTTTATTGAGGAGAGTGGAGGTGGTGCCATAAAAGAGACTGTTACAGTAATCTAGACGAGATGAAATGAATGCATGTATAAGGGTTTCAGCTGCAGGGTAGGAGAGGGAGGGGCGGAGGCGGGCGATGTTTTTGAGGTGGAAGTAGGCTGTTTTAGTGATTTGCTTTATGTGGTGGGTGAAGGAGAGGTTGCTGTCGAAGAAAATGCCAAGGTTGCGACAGTGGGAGGAGGGGGAGAGGATGGAGTTGTCGATGGAGAGATGAAAGTTTGTGACTGTGGAGGTGAGGGAGTTTGGGCCGATGATGATGAGATCTGTTTTGTCATAATTGAGCTTGAGAAGATTGCTGTCCATCCAGTGTTTGATGTCAGAGAGGCAGTTTGAGAGGGAGCGTTGGGTCTGGGGGGTGATGGAGTTGGAAGAGATATATAATTGAATGTCATCAGCATAGCAGTGGAAGTGGAGGTTGTGTTGACGGAGGATGTGGCCAAGAGGGAGGAGGTAGATGATGAAGAGGAGGGGACCAAGCACCGAGCCCTGGGGGACACCTTGGGACACAGGGGCGGTTGTGGAGGAGCAGTTGTTAATATGGATGAAGTGATTCCGGTCTGTGAGGTAAGAGTGGATCCAGTTAAGAGCGGTGTCTGTGATATTGAGGAGGGAGTGTAGGCGGGACAGAAGGATGGCATGGTTGATGGTGTCGAAAGCAGCGAAGAGGTCGAGGAGGATGAGGATGGAGAGTTGGCCAGAATCAGCAGAGATGAGGATGTCATTTGTCACTTTTATGAGGGCAGTTTCGGTGCTGTGGTGGGTGCGGAATCCTGATTGAAACTGTTCGTATAGGTTGTTATTGTTGAGGTGGGTTTTGATTTGTGATGCGATGACACGTTCGAGGATTTTTGACAGAAAAGGGAGGTTGGAGATGGGCCGGAAGTTACTGATGTCATCGGGGTTGAGTCCAGGTTTTTTGAGGATGGGGGTGACAGCAGCCAGTTTGAGTGACGGGGGAACAGTGGCGGAGTTGAGGGAGGAGTTGATGATCTGTGTTATGATGGGGGAGATGACAGGGAGGCAGTGCTTGATGAGGGAGGATGGAATGGGATCCAGGATACAGGTGGATGAAGACATGGAGCAGATGATATTAGTCACGTCGGTTGAGGAGACAGGTGAGAAGCAGGAGAGTGCTGATGGGATGAGGGGAGGAGGGGAGGAGCAGGGAATGGAGGGTGGGGGAAGGGAGTTATAGATTGCGTTGATTTTGGTTTGAAAAGAGGAGAGGAATGTGTTGCATTTTTCCGGGGTGAAGGTGATGGAGGTACTGTCTATGGGGTGGAGCAGTTTTTTGACGGTGGAGAAAAGAGCCTTTTGGTTACTGGAGCCGGAGTTGATGAGGTTGGAGTAATAGGATGAGCGGGCGGATTTGAGGGCTGTTCTGTATAGGTGGAGGTGGTCGGTGTAGGCTTGGAGATGGACAGTGAAGCCGGTTTTGCGGTATAGACGTTCCAGTTGGCGTTTATGGGATTTCATTTTGTGTAGTTCTGAAGTATACCAGGGGGCAGAGTGTCTGAATGAAACTGTTTTTGTTTTGAGAGGTGCGAGCTGGTCCAGGCAGGAGGATAGAGTGTTGTTGTAGTAGTTGAGTAGGTCAGGAAGTTTAGCAGATGGTGTGGGAGGGGATGCAGTGAGGGTGGCAGATAGGGAAGCGGAGAGGTCCTGTGGTGAGATGGATTTGAGGTTTCTGAAGGTAATTTGACGTTTTTCACTGTGAGGCAGAGGGGGGGGGTCGACGTTGAAAGTGACAGCCAGGTGATCAGAGATATAGAGGTTGGTGGTGGAGAGATGGTGGATGGAGATGCCGGTGGAGCAGACGAGGTCGAGGGTGTGGCCATGGGAGTGGGTGGGGGAGTGCACATGCTGGGTGAGATTGAGGGTGTCGAGCAGATCCAGGAAATCAGATGCTTGTTTGCAGGTGGGGTTGTCAATGTGGGGTTGTCAGTAGGTGGTAATACGCCTTGCTCCAATGAATGATTAAAAACGTCTAAAAGTAAAGGAGCGAGTAGTGTAATAAACTTCTTATAGAAGCAACCGGGGAAGCCATCTGGGCCTGGGGCTTTATTACTCTGCATCTGTTGTATGCAAGAGGTTACTTCCTCTAAAGAAAGTGGCATATCTAAGCGTTGAGCTATGGATTCTGTTATTGTTGGTATTTCCAGATTATTGAGAAAGGAGTCCATGGTTGAGAAGTCGGAGGGAGGTTGTGATTTGTATAGATCTGAGTAGTAAGAAGAAAACGCTGAATTGATTTGATCAGGATCAGTAGTTAGATTATGGGATGAATCATATGTTTGTGCTATCAAATGCGAAGATGTTTGATGCTTTAACTGGGAAGCTAAAAGACGACTCGATCTGTCTCCGTGTTCATAATATGTGGCTCTGGTCCGTTGTAACTGATACTTTACCTGTTGTTAACAAATCAAACTCAACTTGTAGCTGTATGCGTTTGATTGCCAGATCAGGGCTCGGTGAGGTGGCCTGTTCCCTGTCCACATCTAGAATGGCATCCAGAAGCTGTTGCTGCCTCTCTCTCCTCTTTATAGATAAGTGTGCGTTGAAGGAAATAATACGACCACGGATAAAAGCTTTGAAAGTCTCCCAAAGAAGAGATGGGGATACCTGGTCAGATCTATTAGTTTCTAAGAAAAAGGTAATATCATTAGACACATATTCACAAAACTCTGGGTTAGCCAGTAATCCTGGGTTTAGTTTCCATCCTCCTTGATGTCTAGGCGGGCGTGGAAGAAGATTAAGATCTAATATATGTGGAGCGTGATCAGAGATTACAATTGCTGTATATTCTGATGATTTGACGGAGGAGAGGAGAGCTTTATCGATAAAAAAAAAATCTATCCGGGAATATACCTGATGAACGGTGGAAAAATATGAAAAATCTTTAGCAGTAGGATGAGAAAAGCGCCAAGGGTCAACACAGCCTAAGTGAGCCATAAGGTCCGAAAGAGTTCTAGTCATAGCAGTTGGAGTAAAGGATTTAGAGTACGAGCGTGGGTTAACCACACAATTGTGATCACCACCGAGAATTAAGTGGTGAGTGTCTAAATTTGGCAAACGAGAAATCAATGACGAAACAAAATTAGGATTGTCAAAATTGGGCGCATAGACATTACACAGTACAACTGGTGTTTCATGAAGTGCACCTGAAACTATGACATATCGGCCTCCAGGATCAGATATTATTTGTTCTGGAATAAATCTGATTCGTTTGTGTATTAGCAGTGTTGATTTCATCAGGCAGGACGAAAACTTAAATGACGACGTCAGACCCCTTTTTTCCTTGACGAAAATGAGACCAAGACGAACGTCACCAAAGCTCTGTAAAGACTAAAATGTGACGAAAGTTGTATTCATTTTCGTCAGACGAGAACGAGATGAGACTAAATTGTTATTAGGTGGACGAACAAAGTTTCAAAACATGCTTTTTTTTGTCCTAACAGTCACGCCCCCATCACACACACACCAAAAGCCTCGCTCGCGCACAGCTGCGCGCACACACTCATACACATACACAGAGCGGCAGGTGGACGAGGCGCGCACACACACACCATGGCGGCAGGCACAACAGCGGTGCCCGGTGGCCGAAAAAAGAGGGGTGATATTTGGTCCTACTTCAGATACAGTCTAAGTGACAATAAAACACAATGTCTTGGACGGGGAGACGAGACAGGCGACAGTTGTGGAGCCACAGCTTCCTCATGCTGCGGCTTCAAACTGTCGGGAAAGAACACCACGAACCTCAAAAGGCACCTTTTCGTCAACTAAAACTAGACTAAAACTTTTTGAGTTTCCGTCGGACTAAAAACTAGACGAAAACTATCAAGGATAGAAATGACTAAAATGGGACTAAAATGAAGAAGCATTTCGTCAAAATGACTAAGACTAAAACTAAATCTGAAATGCCTGCCAAAAAAAACACTGTGTATTAGAATGGCTGTGCCTCTGGACCTACTATTAAAATTAGAGTGGAATATTTGTCCGACCCAAGGTTTACGAAGTCTGATATGATCTACTGTGCGAAGGTGTGTCTCCTGCAGAAAGGCAACATCGGTCAAAAGATTTTTAAGATGAGAAAATACTTTTGCACGCTTAACCTGGCCCCCCAGACCTCGGACATTCCAGGAAACGATCCTAACGGGAAGACCAGAAACCATCATAGTAGGCATGTATGGAATATACACCTATTATATTATTGTGTAGCATAAATACGATCGGACCTATTATAGCCACAGAAACAATAGGATAAGACCAGTTCTGGCAAAAAGAAGCTTACCTCCATAATGATAAGCCTACAGAGGCAATTGTAGTACCCTAAAAGTAAAGTAAAACAGGGAAAAAATAAAAAATGGATATTCAATCTCCTCCCCCCAGGGCTCTCCCACCCCCCGTAACAAAACCCACATAAAACAGACATACAATACTCCTGGCTAGGCACAAGAGAACTTAAAAGACTCAAGACAAAACAAAACAAGTGCACCCCGTCCCGCCTGCCCACCCCAAGTTCCAGTGCTGCCCAAGTACCTATGTTCATCCACCCCTCCTGAAGAACTGCAGGTAAACACCACATAATTCTTCCGGGGTAACTGAGTGGGACACCTACCTCTCTTAATACGGAGAGGCTCCCAAGTTATTTTGTAAATGTGAAATACTTAAACCGTAAAGCAACAAATATAATTCCCTATAGCCAAATATAATTCCTTATGACCTATGTAGAGTATATAGTAATAATAAATAGAAAGTGAAAAAAAAAATGCAAACGAAGGGATTGAGGAAGAAAGAGCAGAAGAAATAGTTAAAATAAAGTTGTCGCTCCTCAGATATGAAAAACCTAAAATGTTCCTGTAGCGATCATATTTGATATGATAACGGAGCGAAAAAGAAGAAAAAAAGATAAATAAATAAATTAATAATAGTAATAATAATAATAATAACATTGAAAGTGAGTAAAAAAACAAAAACAAAAAAAACAAAAGGGGGCATTATAGCTCCTAATTGATGTAAGCTGGATCATCACATGGTAAACTCATTTTAACAGCATAGGGGGAAAGAAAAAAAGAAGAGGAGGAAGAAAAGAAATGCGTGTGATAATGACCAGTACATTAAGAGTGCAAAGGAAGGGGTAAAATGAGGGTGCATTATTACTGATCATTCATATAAGCTGGATCATCACATAGTTAGCTAATTTTGACATCATATTAGGCAGGGAAAGAGAAAAAAAGGGAGAAAAAAATGCGTGTAATAATAATAATAAAAAAAAATAATAATAATTCATAAAAAAAGACAAAAACAAATGAGTGGTTCTATATCAACTAAAAATTGATAACGGGCCTGGGTAGAGTCCAGCAGTACGATGTAGAATGAACATGAATCCGCCTGTGTGTGCGTTTCTGCACGCGCACTCGCTCGTCAATAGACAGTCAATCAATGTTCATAGTGACTGTGTATGTGTGCGCGCGCACGTCTGCGTGCACAAAAAGAAGAAAGGACAGAAACAGAAAGAGAGAAGGATAGAAAGAGGGAGAAAGAAAGAAATACAGAGAGAAGAAAGAGTCACTACAAGTCTATGTTGGCTTACACTTGTGCGCGCTTTGTGCGTAAAGCTGCGCTCCAGAGCGAGAAGCAGTGCCATGCAGTTTAATCCCCATCCATGGCCTCGTCGGGGAAGTTTCGATCATAAAATTTTTGCGCTTCCTTCGGACAGTCGAAAACATATCTCACTCCCTCGTGGACCACCCGCAGGCTGTCGTCGTCCTGTGTGACCATCTTTACGTTTCTTTTCCAGAAGGAGTGTTTCACATCAGTAAACGATGCACGCTGTTTGGCTACGCTGGATGGTACGTCGGGAAACAGTAGAATGTTGTGCCCACGGAACGTGCGCTGGCCTTTTCTGCCTTTCAGGGCACGCTCTTTGTCCTGACGATAATGAAATTTGACAATGAAGATCCTTGGCTTGGCATCAGGTTTTGAATCGCGGGGGGGGGCAATGCGGTGCGCGGCGTCCAAGGTCGGGGGGGTGGTGAAGCAGTCCCCCAGGGCTTCCACAAAGAAGTCGGCCATGAATTTGACCGGATCTGAGCCCCTTTCAAATAAATCTGGGATCCCCACGACGCGGAGCTTTAACAATCTGCTGCGTCGTTCCATTTGCAGTAGTTTGGTGTTGAGATCATCGTTGTCGCTCTGCAGACGAGAGCAAGTAGTCTCCAACTTTGTGATGCGTTCAATATGATCGGACAAAGCGGTTTCCATATCCGATAGCTTAGCTGCGTGGGTAGCCGCCGTCTCTTTAATCTCCTGCAGCGTGGCTGATATTGGCTTCAGTGCCTCGTCGATAGTTTTCTTTATATTGGCATTTATAGTGGCACTCTGTTCCTCAATTAGGAGAGTGAGGAATTTCTCCAAGTCAGGCGACAGCACAACCTGCTTTTGTCTGGTATTGCGACCAGTAGCCATGGCGTGTCCAAACAATAGAAGCGTCTCACTATAAGTTGCGAGCTTAAAGTTTTTCTTGTATGTCCTACCCTTTTCTGTTTCCTTAGGTTAATGCTGAGTGAGGATTACAGTTTTTGCTCTGGTTTAGTCCCTTTTATACATGTATATTAAGTCGAACTCGGGAGCTTCTCCTGATGCGTCCGTTCACTCACATGGTTAACCGGAAGTCCCCACACCACACTTTTCCCCTCAGACTTTGACAGGTTTAGTTTGACATCCACCAGCTCTCGTTTTACGGCTTCCTTCGCCAGCCTGTCCACCCTCTCATTTGCCCCAATCCCAACATGTGCAGGCTCCCACATAAACGAAACCCTCACCCCCCTCCTAGCCACATCTCTAAGAGCCAGCAGCACCTCATATACAAGGTCCTGTTGGCCCCTAGCTGAGCCCATCCCGATGCTTTTGACTGCAGACATCGAGTCGCTACACACCAGCACTTCACAGTCCTCAAGCTGACCAGCCCATTGCACCACCATTAAAATTGCAAAAAGCTCGACTGTAAAAACACTGAGGGAGTTTGACGTCCTCTTACACACCCGCACATTCATTCCACACACTAAAAAGGCTGCCCCGGTAGCACCTGTGGCTTGATCTTTCGACCCATCCATGAACATTATCACATGACTCCTGTACTTCTCCTCCACCCGGTCCTGAAACTGACAGATCACATCCGCCTCTCCAGTCTTTGGTCTTGTCCCCAGTAGCTCCAGGTCCACATTTGGGGTCTCTAACAGCCAAAGAGGTGTCACAGGCCACATCACCGCTGGGCAGAATGTTTCTCTATATATTCCAGTGTCCTGTGCCACTTCCTCCCCAGTCCATCCAAAGCTTCGCATCCTCCCCGCTCCCCTTTCCCAGGTCTCTTGAAAAGCTACCTTGGCCGGGTGCTCATCCCCCTGTCCCATCAAATTGACCCAGTAGTTGGCCTGAAGCTGCTTCCATCTCAGGTCAAGTGGCATTTCCCCTGCCTGAACCTGAAGAGAGCACACTGAGGACGAGCGCACAGCCCCCAGACAAATCCTGAGCGCCACAGCTTGGAGCCTATCTAGTCGAGCCAGAACTGATTTTGAGGCTGATCCATACGCCAGACTGCCATATTCGACTCTTGATCTTATTAGATGCCCATAAATCTGTCTCAGGGACTCTGAGCTTGCTCCCCACCCCGTCCCAGCCAGGCATCTCATCACATTTAGTACTTTCTTTCCTTTATCCATTATTATAGTCACATGGTCCCTCCATGTAAGACGACTGTCAAAAGTTACACCCAAAAATTTAAAAGAATTAACCCTCTCAAGCCTTTTACCGTATAGCTCCATTTTATCCCCCACATTAATCTTTCTTAACCCTTTGATGCGCAACATGGGTCAAAAAAGACCCGGCTGAGTTTAAATTTTATATATCTTTTCAAAAAATTATTTCCATCAGTCGGTACTCAAGGAATTCCTCAATTAACTTGTTTTTGACGACCCTTCATCCTTATGTTAATTTTTCTCTTTTTACTTTTAGAATAAAAAACGTTTTTGTATCACTACCCCTCTAATGCACTACATGGGTCTAAAATGACCCGTATCCATTTTCAATGTTATTTCATGTATGGCTGAGTGTTTCTATGGTATATCTTTGAAATAAATTAATTTTATCATTAACTATTCCAAGTATGCAGTAAAGATCTTGTTTTAGTTGAGCACAAATAATCATTTTTATTTTTCCTTTCTTACGTTATGAGGAAGCACAGATTTTGTATTTCTACATCAAGTTTACATACATGGGTCAGAAACGACCCACAAACAGTGACTGTAGCATTTAGCATGAAAAGACCATCTAATACATGTAAGTATGGTTTTTCAATTGTTCTGACATTATCTTAGAAATTATTTGATGACAATTGTGAAATATAATTGTACATAGATTTGATTTGATTAGGTTAAGGTTACCTTGAGAGTGAGGACATTACATGTTGGAAAGTTACACAGTTACAGGTAAAACAGCTAGCGTTATTTCAGCTAGCTATAATCAGACGCATGTGTATGTGACAAAATGACAAATAAACATGTTGCTAATACAAAATACAAAAGTGTTTGGCCCATAGACTGTATAAAGAATGGACAGCGTCTGCCTCCTTGCTGGGTGAAGCCGAGAACAGCACCCCCTGTTTACAGGCTGCAGTATAGGTCATAAATCCCGCCTCCGCCAGCAAAGCTTATGGGATTAAATTTTTCTCCCCCCTGCTTGTGATGTTGACATGTAGTTATTGTAAGACTGGTTTGTGCTCCAGTCCTCTTTTTTCTGTACAGCTCTGTTTTTAAAAGTTATTAGGGGTTTCATGTTTTCTATGATTGACACCTGCCATAGACTGTATATAGAATGGACAGAGTCTGCCTCCTCGCTGGGTGAAGCCACTCCGAGAACAGCACCCTCTGTTGATGGGCTGCAGTATAGGTCATAAATCCCGCCTCCGCCAGCAAAGATTATGGAGCTGTGGACAAACTTAAAAAATGTATTACACAGAACATAAATTTTTATCCCTCCTGATTGTGATGTTGACATGTAGTTACTGTCAGACTGGTTTGTGCCCAAGTCCTCTTTTTTTCTGTGAAGCTCCATTTTTAAAAGTTATTAGGGGTTCATGTTTGCTATGATTGACACCTGATACAGCCTATGGGCGTTCAGGGATTGCGTAGCTCTCCCAGGGGATATGCTGTTTGAGCCGAGTGTCATCACAGCAACTCTCTTCAACTGCACGGCCAAATGGGCGCATTGCTACTGCGCAGCACTGGTTTCAGGAAATGAAGAAAAATCCTGAAAATATCGAGAGCTATTTGGCTTCAAATCTGTATACAGGCAGTAGGCGGAACAAAGTTGTCCATAGTATATACAGTCTATGGATACAGCCTATGGGCGTTCAGGGATTGCGTAGCTCTCCCGGGGTGATACGCTGTTTGAGCCGAGCGTCATCACAGCGACTCTCAGCGACTGCGCGGCCGAATGCAAGCATCGCAACTTCGCAGCTCTGGTTTCAGAAATGTAGAAAAGTCCCGGAAATACCGAGAGCTTTTTGGCTCCAAATCCGTATACAGGCGGTAGGTGGAACCAAGTTGTCCATAGTATATACAGTCTATGGTTTGGCCCCACTCACTGCTAATTTCATTACTTGAAACAAATTATTATTATAGTGTTAGGTAATTCAATATTAAATCACACTTGGATGAATGGGTCGTTTTTGACCCATGTGTGTAAACTTGATGTAATAATATAGAAACTATTATTATTTCATAAAGTATGAAAAGAAAAATAGAAATAATGATCAGTGGTGATCAAAAACAAGATATTTAAAGAATACTTGGAATATTCAATCAGAAAATAAACTTATTTCAAAAGATAGACCAAAGAAAAACTCAGCCAGCATGAAATACCATTGGAAATGAATGCGGGTCTTTTTAGACCCATGTTGCGCATAAGAGGGGGTGTGGATATGTTGCGCATCAAAGGGTTAAGATTAATCTTCATGACCTTAGTTTTTTCTACTGAGAATCTAAATCCTCATTTCCTCCCCCAGTCTTCCACTTGGGATAATGCGTCCTGGACTGCCTTTACAGTATGGTTCATGTTCTTCCCCCTTTTCCACAGGCCACCATCATCTGCAAAAAGTGATTTCCCAATTCCCGGATGCACAGCCACAAAAATATCATTAATCATTATGTTGAAAAGGAGGGGACTGATAACACTCCCCTGAGGGGTCCCATTTTCTACATGACACTTCCTGGATAAGTCTGATCCTATCTTAACCTGGATGCTTCTGTTGTTTAAAAAGTCCATGACCCAATTAAACACACGCCCTCCCACCCCGATCAAATGCATCTTAATTAAAAGACCTTCTACCCACAGCATGTCATATGCCTTTTCAACATCTAAAAACACAGCCACCACAGATTCTTTCATCACCTGGGCTTTCCTTATTTCATCCTCTAAACACAGCACTGAATCAGAGGTGCTTCTCCCTACCCTGAATCCATTGTGATAGTTTGCCACCAGCCCCCTCTCCTCCACCAGGTGCATCAGCCTTCTGTTGACAAGCCTCTCCATTAGCTTCCCCACATGGGAAGTCAAAGCTATAGGCCTATAACTTGAAGGGTTACCTGCATCCTTCCCCGGTTTCCTAATGGGAATGATCGTTGCCTCCTTCCAACCTGACGGGATCTGACCCTCCTCCCAGACCCTATTATAAAGATGGAGCAGCACTCTCAACCCCGCCTCCCTTAGGTGCCTCAACATGGCATAACAGACACCATCCTTCCCCGGAGCGGAGTCCTTGCAACTCGCCAGTGCCCTCCTCAGCTCCCCCATTGTAAATGGAACGTTGTACTTATCATCTACATTGCCCTTCCTCTGGACAACTCCATGTATACTTTTGGTTTCCTCTCTACACCTCCTCTCTTCAGCTGATAGATTGTCAGAGCTATGAACCTTGCTGAGAGCATTCACCATCATTTCTGCCTTCTCCTCATTTGTAACGGCTGATTCATCTCCATCAGATAGAATCAGATAGCCCCATGCCCGTCTACCCCCCCCCCCCATCTTCCGAATCATACCCCAAATCTCCGTTACTGTGGTTGTGCGCCAAATAGTGTTACAGTATCCCCTCCAGTAATTCCTTTTTGTTTCCCTTATGGCCCTCCTGCCCTCCTGACCTCCTGTCTCTTATACTCAATCATATGCTGATAATTATGAGTCCTCTTCAGCACTTTAAAAGCTCTATTTCTATTCTTGATCGGCTCTCTGCATTTCTCATCCCACCACGGGACCGCTTTCTTTTTAAGGTTCCCTGTGCTTTTGGGTATCGCTAGTTCTGCCGCCATTAGTATACCTTCTCTAACCCGCATCTCATATTCTTCACAAACCGGATCCATGCCCCTTACCCCTCCTTCTCCTTCAAATTGCACCACAACCTTCCGTTTTTCCTCCCTCTGCTGTCCGTCCTCCACCATTCGCCTGTTCAATCCTTTATTCAATTTCCTCATTTCCCAACCCCCATCCTCCTTGTCCTCCCTCTCATCCATACTCCACACACTCCCTTCCCGTGATCCTGCCATAGAGCGAGCATGAGCGAGAGAGCGAGCGAGTCCCTACTCCTGGAAAAGACCGAAGCGCTTCACGAGGCAAACAAAACAATCACCAAACTCAAACTCCATATTCAAAAACTCTCCGATGAGCTCAAGACAAAATCCACTCTCCTCACAACCTGCATTGATGTGGCCCACCAGCAATCCCTCCACCTATTCTCCCTCCAAACAACCCTCCAGGACACGCTACCCTGGGAGCCTCAAAGCCCATCCACCACGTCCCAACCGCCATCCACCGCTGCACCCAACCAGGACTCAACATGGACTGAAATAACCACACGCGGCAGGAAAATCACCAACACCACCCCCTGGAACCCGGCCGGGCCTACCTCAAGCTCCACTCCAAGCCGCTTCGAGGCTCCTGAGAATCCTACTGAGCCTGCAAACACCAGCATGGACCAGTCCCTTCTCGGCGGTGACGTGGTGGCGTCCTCTACAGCGGCTGCCGGAGCTCCCATGGCTCCTACACGGCCACCCGGCGGCGCCCCCGGGCCTTCGTCCACGTCCTCCGGTGCCCTCGCGGCGTGCCGGCTCGAGGACCGGGTAGCCTCCGCTCTTCTGGAGGGGACCCTTCTCCGTCGGTCCCTGGTCGCGCGCGGTGTCCCGGAACCCGCCTTGACCACCGCTCGGAGAGCCGGCCCGCGTCCTCAGCCGCCCGCAGGAGGTTTCTCCGGGAGGCAGTCCGACGGAACTCCGCCGGGCCCGCTTCAGCTGCCCCGGACCGAAATGGCAGACCAGCCCCGCAGCCGCTGGCATCCACCGCACCACTGAGTCCCCGTACCCTGGCCACCAGCCCTGCTTCGGACACAGGAGCCATGCACCCCCCGCCGCTGTTTCCCCCCACCACCTTGATCATTGGTGACAGCATCATACGAGGTATTCGTTATTTTAATGCCATCACTCGCTCTTTCCCCGGTGCAACTGTCGCCGACATCACAGCAAAACTCCCCGGTCTTCTCCAATCACTTCCTGCCTCTATCCACCGCATTATTGTCCACGTTGGCACCAACGACACGGCTCACCAACAGTCTGAACAGACAAAAAAAGACTTCAGGACACCTCTCGATAGCCTTCAGTGCAGCGGCAAAACTGTTTTTATAAGTGGCCCTCTTCCAACACTGACACGTAGCATCGATCGTTTTAGCCGCCTCCTCAGCCTAAACTCCTGGCGTCGAGCCCTCTGCAGCACCCTCTCCACCCACTTCATTGACAATTTTAACCTGTTCTGGAACCGACCCCCATTCTTTTCTAATGACGGGCTTCACCCAAACAAACTGGGCCATCAGACACTTGCCGCTAATATCCAACACCACATACACACCAACTGACTATCATTGTTTACATACTCCCTGTCATCCTCTCCCACTACCCCACCTGGAAACAGCGCCCCCCAGAGGCCCCCCTCCGGAACCCTCGCCCTCACCACCCTCACCACCGGCTCCCCCAACAGGCCCCAACTGGTACTGCGCACCAACCCCATCGCCCCCATCACATCAAGCTCCCCCTCCTGGTCCAAACAGCTACTACACCCTTCAACCATAGACTCTCCTTGCAAACAATTACAAACAATTAAAACAATTACAACTACTGGACCCTCCCGTTCAAATCCCATGCATCCAAAAAGAAGGACAAGCAATCTAACAAACCTCCGCTGCCTTCCCCCTGCCTCACTGCCCACCCCACAGCCCCCTCCCCTGAAGATGGCCCTTCAAAACACCCGCTCCCTCAATAACAAAGGACACATCCTAGCTGACTTCATAACAGACAATAACCTGGACTTCCTCTATCTAACCGAAACCTGGCACAACCATCTCGACCTCTTTCCACTCAACCAAGCCACCCCCCCCCCCCCCGGTTACTCCTACCTACACCAACCCCGCCTCACTGGACGAGGCGGAGGCGTCGCAGTTATTCACAAACAAACCCTCAAGACCGCCCCCGCCCCCACCCTGTCCGTCCACTCATTCGAAAATATCTCTGTCAAACTCCCCGGCCCCACCCCTCTGGTCATTGTTACTATCTACCGCCCCCCAAAGCCCCACCCATCATTCCTCTCTGATTTCTTTGAATTTGTCACCCACCTAAACACCATCTCATCCTCTGTCCTGCTGCTTGGAGACTTCAACTTTCACATTGACAACCCCACCTGCAAACAAGCATCTGATTTCCTGGATCTGCTCGACACCCTCAATCTCACCCAGCATGTGCACTCCCCCACCCACTCCCATGGCCACACCCTCGACCTCGTCTGCTCCACCGGCATCTCCATCCACCATCTCTCCACCACCAACCTCTATATCTCTGATCACCTGGCTGTCACTTTCAACGTCGACCCCCCCCCCCCCCCCACCTCACAGTGAAAAACGTCAAATTACCTTCAGAAACCTCAAATCCATCTCACCACAGGACCTCTCCGCTTCCCTATCTGCCACCCTCACTGCATCCCCTCCCTCACCATCTGCTAAACTTCCTGACCTACTCAACTACTACAACAACACTCTATCCTCCTGCCTGGACCAGCTCGCACCTCTCAAAACAAAAACAGTTTCATTCAGACACTCTGCCCCCTGGTATACTTCAGAACTACACAAAATGAAATCCCATAAACGCCAACTGGAACGTCTATACCGCAAAACCGGCCTCACTGTCCATCTCCAAGCCTACACCGACCACCTCCACCTATACAGAACAGCCCTCAAATCCGCCCGCTCATCCTATTACTCCAACCTCATCAACTCCGGCTCCAGTAACCAAAAGGCTCTTTTCTCCACCGTCAAAAAACTGCTCCACCCCATAGACAGTACCTCCATCACCTTCACCCCGGAAAAATGCAACACATTCCTCTCCTCTTTTCAAACCAAAATCAACGCAATCTATAACTCCCTTCCCCCACCCTCCATTCCCTGCTCCTCCCCTCCTCCCCTCATCCCATCAGCACTCTCCTGCTTCTCACCTGTCTCCTCAACCGACGTGACTAATATCATCTGCTCCATGTCTTCATCCACCTGTATCCTGGATCCCATTCCATCCTCCCTCATCAAGCACTGCCTCCCTGTCATCTCCCCCATCATAACACAGATCATCAACTCCTCCCTCAACTCCGCCACCGTTCCCCCGTCACTCAAACTGGCTGCTGTCACCCCCATCCTCAAAAAACCTGGACTCAACCCCGATGACATCAGTAACTTCCGGCCCATCTCCAACCTCCCTTTTCTGTCAAAAATCCTCGAACGTGTCATCGCATCACAAATCAAAACCCACCTCAACAATAACAACCTATACGAACAGTTTCAATAAGGATTCCGCACCCACCACAGCACCGAAACTGCCCTCATAAAAGTGACAAATGACCTCCTCATCTCTGCTGATTCTGGCCAACTCTCCATCCTCATCCTCCTCGACCTCTTCGCTGCTTTCGACACCATCAACCATGCCATCCTTCTGTCCCGCCTACACTCCCTCCTCAATATCACAGACACCGCTCTTAACTGGATCCACTCTTACCTCACAGACCGGAATCACTTCATCCATATTAACAACTGCTCCTCCACAACCGCCCCTGTGGCCCAAGGTGTCCCCCAGGGCTCGGTGCTTGGTCCCCTCCTCTTCATCATCTACCTCCTCCCTCTTGGCCACATCCTCCGTCAACACAACCTCCACTTCCACTGCTATGCTGATGACATTCAATTATATATCTCTTCCAACTCCATCACCCCCCAGACCCAACGCTCCCTCTCAAACTGCCTCTCTGACATCAAACACTGGATGGACAGCAATCTTCTCAAGCTCAATTATGACAAAACAGATCTCATCATCATCGGCCCAAACTCCCTCACCTCCACAGTCACAAACTTTCATCTCTCCATCGACAACTCCATCCTCTCCCCCTCCTCCCACTGTCGCAACCTTGGCATTTTCTTCGACAGCAACCTCTCCTTCACCCACCACATAAAGCAAATTACTAAAACAGCCTACTTCCACCTCAAAAACATTGCCCGCCTCCGCCCCTCCCTCTCCTACCCTGCAGCTGAAACCCTTATACATGCATTCATTTCATCTCGTCTAGATTATTGTAACAGTCTCTTTTATGGCACCACCTCCACTCTCCTCAATAAACTTCAGCTTATCCAGAACTCAGCCGCCCACCTCCTCACCCACACACGCTCCCATCAACACATCACCCCCGTCCTCCAAAACCTTCACTGGCTCCGCATACCCCATCGCATTCAATACAAAATCCTCCTCCTCACCCACAAAGCACTCCACAACCTCGCCCCCCCCTACCTACAGGATCTTCTCCACCCCTACATCCCCTCCCACACCCTCCGCTCCGCCAATGCCAACCTCCTCACAGTTCCCCTGACCAAGCACCGAACCTGGGGGGACAGAGCCTTCTCAGTCGCCGCCCCCAACCTCTGGAACTCACTCCCACTCGAACTCAGAAACTGCACCGACCTCACCAGATTCAAGACCCTTCTCAAAACCCACCTCTTCCGCACTGCCTTTCATCCTTCCTAGCCCCCCCCCATTGGATTTTACCTGATTCTACATGTTTTTATTGACATTGTCGTAAATTTTATTACTTATTGATGCGTGTTTTATTGCTATTTGGATTTTACCCGATTCTACATGTTTTTATTATATTGCCGTAAATTTTATTACTTATTGATGTGTGTTTTTATTGCTTAACTCTGTACAGCGTCTCTGTGTTTTTGAAAAGCGCTTACAAATAAAATGTATTATTATTATAATAGGTGGAGAAAGAGCTATTGGCACGAGTACCGTCCTACCGGACCTTACAGGCCATCGGCCGGTACTCCCACACAATATTCATTCACTCACCCTTCCCTCAACAGTCTTACTTAAGTGTTACTAACTCTATGATTTAACCAGCAGCGCTGATCCTGTCTGCAAAACAAACTCAGTTTTCGAACCGGAGCTTTCACTTCCGCGTACGTCCCGCTTCCGACTCCTCCGCGTTACCTTCGGCTGTGTTCGGCTTTCTTCAGCTCGTGGGTCGCTACCATTTCTGAAGAAGAGGGGGGTTGTGAAACCAATGCATCCGTAAATTTATTTCAAACACATCGTTTCTTAATTTATGGAAAGTTTGTAATATAAGCGTTTCTTGTAAGTAGTTTCTTTCCCAATACATTTTGTGCTGTGGAGCTAAAATGAAACAAGACGATAATTAAAATAGAAGCGGACCCCGTCTTCTGCTTTAGTATGGACCGGAATCTTTTTTTAATCAACATCCGTTGGTCGCACGTTTATTCAAACGAGACGGAAGCTACGGGGGTTTAGAGATGGCGGTATAACGTGATGCTGACTGACCAAACGTTAGACTTTGAAGATTATTTGGCGTTGTTTTATCTGCTATGTGTTTGTGGCACTGACTCTTAAAAAGCTGCTGAGTCATGTTAACTCTTTACACAGTCGTAGTCCCGACTTTCGCGTCGTGTGTGGCATTGATGGCTGCCCAAATGAGTACAGGGTGTATAACTCATATTATTATCACATAAAACGGACGCACACTCATCATCTTCACAATGGTGCGCTTGGACCAGGGGATGACGAGGAGACATCATCACCAGGAACGCACCAGGGGCCTCATGTATCAACACTTGCATGGGACTCATATCAGAAACGAGCGCACGCAAGGTCCATCACGCTGAAAAAAATCCATATGTATCAAGGTGTGCGGGCGCCGAAAGCCACGTGTGTTTCCTTGATAAATCCCAATCAGCTTGGAATTGAGCGCAGATGTCGGAGTGACCTGGGGCCTCATGTATCAACGCTTGCGGCGCAAGAAAACCTTGCGTACGCAAAATCGGCGCACACGTCCAGATTTATCATCGCGAAACGAGCGTCGGTTCCAGCGCTAATCAACGCAAAGTCAGGAGGTGGTGTAGAAATTGGCGTTGAGCCGATACTTGCGTTGACTGTGATTCGCACTTTGGCAACGCTGTGTGTCGGTGTTTGGTGACTCACTATGTGACAAGCGTGCACCACATCCCCGTGGCCGAGCAGCACATCGCCCCACATGACGAACCAGCAGCAGACGGAGGGATGCGAGCTGATCCCTGCCGGGCCGCCGTCCTCGCGCGGGAGAATCTCATCGCCACAGTGTGAATGGGTAAGAAGTGAATACACAGTTCAATGAGCCAAATTAATTTATTTTCTCCACCAGACGCTCGAGGACATTTACGAGCCGGTCCAGCCGCTCGTTGATCCCCGCGATCCCCCTGATGATTTCTTCCTGCGATTGCAGGACCCCCTCCGCGAGGACCCTTCCACTGCGTCCGGGTGGTCCAGCGGAAGCGCCGCGGCTGGTGGACGCTCCACCGCTTGTTGGCGCGCTGGTGCTGATGCTGGTGCTGGTGCTGGGGCCGGGGGCCGGGGTGGCCCGAATGCCGCTGGTCCTGGCCGACGACTCCGAGCCGGCGGACGGGCTGCCGCGGGCCGGGGTTCCGCAAGCCGGCGACACGGCCGACACATTGATTTCTGTGACACAATAAAAATATTTGTTCATTTAAATTCCTGCTTCTGTGTATCTGTTGCGTTTACATCTCTCTCCACGGTATCATAGGTAATGTAATCCAGTATTTAGAGGTCAGTTATGCACATTACAGTTGTTTATTGCATAAAAAGTGATCGAAAAATGAAGTTAAGGGCAAAGTATAAATCACGTCTAAAAATAGACTGAATCCCGACGTTGAAATGAAGTATAAACTTAGACTAGACGTCTAATATACGTCTTTTGCTCAGTGGGATGACAAAGCATGTGGACATTTGTGTGACACGCCACTTACCCTATAATAATAATCGCCACCACCCGCTGCTCAAACGGCGTGAGGGTCTCCTCCCCCGGACCCCCACCTGTCTGGCCAGTACTCCTCCGGAGGGCAGCTGTACGCCGCTTGACCTCCACCTTGAGGTCCGACCACTTTTTTTTAATCGTCGCGGGGGTGCGTGTCTCGGAACCCACCGCATTCACCCTCTCGCAAACTTTCTCCCACTCCAAGCGTTTTTGTTTTGCACTGACGCCACTGGACAGGCTGCCAAACAAAACACGCTGTCGCTCCTCCACCTCCGCCACCAGCACCTCCACCTCGCACGCCGTAAATGTAGTTTTTCTTGTCATTTTGTCTGCGTGCGAGGAAGGGGAGACCCTATTTAAATAAATCTGCATATTTATAGGAGGGCGTAACGGGGACGGGCCCAGTCACTCCGACATCTGCGCTCAATTCCACGCTGATTGGGATTTATCAAGGAAACACGTGGATTTCGGCGCCCGCACACATAGATACAAACGGATTTTTTTCAGCGTGAAGGACCTTGCGTGCGCTCGTTTCTGGTATGAGTTCCACGCAAGTGTTGATACATGAGGCCCCAGGCCCGCCCCCGTTACGCCCTCCTATAAATATGCAGATTTATTTAAAAAGGGTCTCCCTGTCCTCGCACGCAGAAAAAATGACAAGAAAAACTAAATTTACGGCGTGCGAGGTGGAGGTGCTGGTGGCGGAGGTGGAGGAGCGACAGCGTGTTTTGTTTGGCAGCCTGTCCAGTGGCGTCAGTGCAAAACAAAAACGCTTGGAGTGGGAGAAAGTTTGCGAGAGGGTGAACGCGGTGGGTTCCGAGACACGCACCCCCGCGTAGATTAAAAAAAAGTGGTCGGACCTCAAGGTGCCCACTCCGGAGGAGTACCGGCCAGACAGGTGGGGTTCCGGGGGAGGAGACCCTCACACCGTTTGAGCAGCGGGTGGTGGCGATTATTATTATAGGGTAAGTGGCGTGTCACACAAATGTCCACATGCTTTGCTATCCCACTGAGCAAAAGACATATATTAGACGTCTAGTCTAAGTTTATACTTCATTTCAACGTCAGGATTCAGTATATTTTTAGAAGTGATTTATACTTCGCCCTTAACTTCATTTTTCGATCACTTTTTATGCAATAAACAACTGTAATGTGCATAACTGACCTCTAAATACTGGATTACATTACCTATGATACCGTGGAGAGAGATGTAAATGCAACAGATACACAGAAGCAGGAATTGAAATGAACCAATATTTTTATTGTGTCACAGAAATCAATGTGTCGGCCGTGTCGCCGGCTTGCGGAACCCCGGCCCGCGGCAGCCCGTCCGCTGGCTCGAAGTCGTCGGCCAGGACCAGCGGCATTCGGGCCACCCCGGCCCCCGGCCCCAGCACCAGCACCAGCATCAGCACCAGAGCGCCGACAAGCGGTGGAGCGTCCACCAGCCGCGGCGCTTCCGCTGGACCACCCGGACGCAGTGGAAGGGTCCTCACGGAGGCGGTCCTGCAATCGCAGGAAGAAATCATCAGGGGGTTCGCGGGGATCAACGAGCGGCTGGACCGGCTCGTAAATGTCCTCGAGCGTCTGGTGGAGAAAATAAATTAATTTGGCTCATTGAACTGTGTATTCACTTCTTACCCATTCACACTGTGGCGATGAGATTCTCCCGCGCGAGGACGGCGGCCCGGCAGGGATCAGCTCGCATCCCTCCGTCTGCTGCTGGTTCGTCATGTGGGGCGACGTGCTGCTCGGCCATGGGGATGTGGTGCACGCTTGTCACATAGTGAGTCACCAAACACCGCCACACAGCATCGCCAAAGTGCCGTCAACGCAAATATCAGCTCAATGCCAACTTCTACACCACCTCCTCACTTTGCGTGGATTTGCGCTGGAACCGACGCTCGTGTCGCAATGATAAATCTGGACGTGTGCGCCGATCTTGGTGAACACAAGGTTTTCTGGCGCCGCCAGCGTTGATACATGAGGCCCCAGGAGACCACAGACAGCATTGTGAACAACTCTGTAGCCGAGGACTCTACGCACACTGATACAACGCAGGATTACTCATCAGTGACTGAAGATAATTCATTCAGAGACACACAAACGGCAGGTTATCGTTTTTCCTTTATATATTGTGTTTTTACCACTGCCCCAGCCCACAATGGTATTCTGTTTAGATTTCAATGGTGTTTAAATGCATAGCTATACACTAACTAATATAATGGTGGTATATATTAAGTTGATGTAAATGCTATTATAGAAATAAAAAAGACCGTATTGTACTAACTAATTCATGTCTTAACAAAAAAAGTTGTCAGATTGGGGTCACATAAAAATCTTATCCAATGGTGTTCTGTGGGCAAGGTAGTGGTTCTCAATCTGTGGCTTGGGACCCCCACGGGGGTCGCCAGTGAAGTCATACTTTAAGGACTTGTAAGACCCTGAAAGAAAAATACCATTTACAGCATCAGAAAATAATCAACAAACCTTGCTAAAACATTGGGAGGGTTCCCCTCCCCAATGCAGTTCAAATATGATGGTTTTGGGGGGTCACTGCTGGAGGTTGAGAACCACTGGCCTAATGCATATCAAATGGGTTCTTGATAATTAATGTTGCCTTATAACATGCCCAGTGAAAAGTAGTGTCTTAATGGTGGTGTTATTTAAACCAATGATTCCAAACTCTAGCTCTAAACCCAAAGACAAGTTAGACGTTTGCCTGGCACCCAAAAATAGTAAAAAATATATCTACAAGCTGACAACACGCCACATTGTGAGCTACTTCTTAAACATTTTTTTTCTAATTTAGGGAATTTCTTAAATTTCTTAGATTCATTTAGATTCATGATTTGATTTGGGGTAATGTTGAGATGTTGAAATGTATTGAAATCTTATATATTGAATAATAATAATGATGATGATGATGTTTGGGCAACAATGAGTTAAAGCCACATCACCTTTCCCTGTTTTAAGAGAGATGGTTTTTTGTTTTTTAATATCAGATTGGAGAAGGTGGAGAGGGTCCTGAGAAGGTTGATCTTTCCAAACATGCAACTGCATTTCTTCTTCAAGCGAGAGAAACCCAACGACTGACACAGGTAGCGTATGCTATCGTCTTCTAATAGAATTTCATTGTTAGAAGCAAGCATTTAATAAATGATCCTAAAATGTTAGAATGCATTTAAAGGATAACTTTAGTTTTTTCAACCTTAGCTCTGTTTTAGAATGTGTTTAGGACATGTGAAAGCTGAGTGTTGAAATTATTTCATTTGCTGCTTTCTTTAGTTTTGGCCATTTTACTGTGGCTAAAATGCTGTTTGTACAGGGGCCGGGGCAATCGTACAAGGGGCTAAACTTGTCTTATTTTACAAAAAAGGCTGGCGATTTATTTTTATTTGTCAACTGACTGGGGTCTATAAAGGCCATAGTAAATAAAAACAAAAAGATTCAGCAGCTCATTTTGTAAAATAATATAGCCTCTTGTACGATTTCCCCCGTCTCCTATACAAACAACATTTTAGCCACATTAAAATGGCTAAAACTAAAGAAAGTAGCAATTTAAATAATTTTGACACTCATCTTTCACATGTCCTAAATGCAATCTACAACATGAGAAAAGGCTGAAAAAAAATAAAATAAAAAAATAAAGTTGTCCTTTAAAGCCTGTGTGTGAGAATCATAGATATTTGTATATTAATCTGTTTGTTTGTGTATATTCCACACTCATCCCCTCCCCACCCCACCCCAGAGAGCTGTTAACCAGATGCTGAATGGAGTCCAGCAATATCAAGCAGCATTACTGGATCACCTAAAACATCAAATGAATGACATGATTGAAAGACATTCTGGCAACCTTGATCAACTGAAGAGCGATGCAATGGATATATTTGACCAGTTTAGTGACCCTTTCAGTGACATTTCTACAACTTATTTGCAGGACAAGAAAATTACAGAACTGTTGCAACCAGTTGAAGCAGAGCTTGTGGTCTTAAAGAATTCAGCATGTTATGTGAAACGTGGAGATGCAAGAGTCCTTGCCATTAAGAGCCATTAATTTCATTATATACCATTGCTTGAAAGTTTAGGGCAGCTGCCATTACATCCAAGAATTCTTGAAATGATTGAAGAAGGGCTGCAACCATGCAAGTATGGATTTGTTCATGATTTCATTGATGGGGACATTTTTAAGGTGCACCCACTTTTTTCAAAATTTCCCAAAGCATTGCAGTTAATTGTATACACAGATGAAATTGATTTATGTAATCCCCTTGAATCTAGGTAACATCAATCCTAAATGCAGATCAGGACTTGCTGCTATTTGTTTGCTTGCCATGGTAAAATCTAAAGATCTTTCTAATATCGATAAGATATTTCAGAGACCTAACCGTGATTTAAATGAACTGTATGTCGGTGCTAAAGTTTTCACTGCAAATGGTGAGCAGACAATTTATGGGGCAGTTATGGCTGTGTGTGGAGACACTCTAGCTCAACATGAAGTTGCTGGATTTAAGGAAGGGGTAGGGTTTGCATACAGTAAATGCAGGCACTGTGAATGCAACTTTGAAGACATGCAGGAACAGTTTAATGAGGATTTGTTTGTTAAAAGGACCATGACAAGTCATATAAGACAATGTTGTAACATTGAAAGGGCAAGCACTAACAATCTGAAAGAAAAATTAAAAACAACATATGGTGTAAACCGAAGGAGCAAATTTACAGAATTTCCTGGGTTTAATTTAATTACTCAAACCCCTGAGGACATAATGCATATTATTCTTGAGGGTGTAGCGCCATATGAAATCAAATGTGTTTTAAAGCAGCTAGTGCTTTCAGGGCATATGAACTTAGACACATTAAACAGTGCTATTATTGGTTTCAATTATTCTCCTCTAGATGCCAGGGATAAGCCTTGCCCCATATCTGTCAATACATTGACATCGGATGACAATATACTGAAACAGTCAGCTGGGCAGATGCTGGTTTTGTTAAAGATCTTACCATTTCTTTTTGATACAATTGGAGACAATGATTACACAAAAATGCTGCATAAGTTGTTAGAGATAGTCAAAATTCTGTTTTCGCCTATCATTGCTCTATCCACTCTTTCAAAGTTGAAGCTCTTAATAGAGCAACATTTGAAGGATTTCAAAGGACTCTTTCCAGATACAAATATTATACCTAAACAGCATTACCTTTTACATCTTCCTTCTCAGATTAAGGCACTTGGTCCAACAGTGAGACACATGTGTATGCGCTTTGAGTCAAAACATTGTTTTTTCAAACAGTGGGCTTTGAAAAGTAATTTTAAGAATATTTGTAAATCTCTTGTGAAGCATAACCAACTATATGAATGTAGTCAGAATGTGCAAGAGAAACATCCAATTGTTGCAAGTGAACTTGAAATGGGCCCTGTCTCTGAGGTGAAAAATGTCCAGTATGTAGAGGGAAAAATGAGAGACTTCTTTGGAATAGAGAGAGTTGAATATGTTGTTTCTGTAACATGGATAATGCAGTGTGGAAATAAGTATACACGTGGGAAGTCTTTGGCTATTACTAATGTCATCAATGGTACTCCAGAGTTTGGTCTTGTGAAAAACATTTATATTGTAAATTCATCTATGTATTGTTTTGAATGCCAGCCCCTCTCTACAGTTGGGTGGAGTAATCAGTATTTAGCATATGAGGTAGAAGTTCCTTATCAGGCTCAGGCCAATATTTTTGTTGATGCTGGAAATCTTGTTGATTATATGCCATACTACTATGTGACATTTAAAAATAGAAAGTACATTCCAATGAAGTATGATCTCACAGACATTATTGCGCATCATACTTAAAGCTACGTAACTTGCTGCCTGCCTGGCTACCATGCCTGCTTACTCGGGATAAATCAAAGAGAAAATGAGTATCATAGTTGTTGAAGAAAAAGCCTGATATTTCCAATAAAGATGTCTTTTCTTGAAATCAACTAAGTATATTTCTTGAAATGAGTATGATCCATCTTTTACAAATAGCACAACAGCATAGAAATGTCTTATATGTCCCAAAAAACATGTTTTATCTGAGAAATGACTCAATACCAGGTCATTTCAAGATTGTATCTCTTAGCAAGCTTTTCAAGTTGCACGGTATTAAAACAAGCTCACATATCTCACAGAAAATAGCTTCCTTAGATGATTGTATCTTATATTAAGTCAGATGAATAGAAACAAGCTACATGGACTTAACAAGATTTGGATTTTTTGCAGTGTAGGTGTTTTTCCCATGTGTTTCAATTGAACTTTCATTTGTGTCTAGCAAATTTTAGGTTCTAGTTAAGTTTTAATATGAAATCTTGATTAGATTTTGAGTTTTTCTAGTGTTCAAAATAAAATTGTGATACCTGCTGTATTGGAGCACATTAGGCACCAGTGCTACTTGATGTTTTATCCATCAATGACTACTGAGCTAAAATTGACAACTACCCAGTTAGCTTTATTATGTTTTTGTTTTTCACCCTCAACACCCTACAGCGTTGTGTTTTTACAGATTAAATAAAGCCTGTATGAAAGGCACATTAGCCACACATCAACAGTAGTCATAAATAATAGAAACCTTGCCCTCTGCAGGGCTAACGTTATGTTAGCAAGGTACAGTAACATTAATCTCATTAATTGGCGCTACGTTAACTTAATTTTACCTTGTCTCGGGTGACGGTCCTCCGCTCCTGGAGTAAACAGGGTGTCTTCAGTGGAGATGCTGCAGAATTGAAGACGTACTGTTGTGGTAAGCCAGCGCCGTCTTACAGTGAATACATGCAACAGTGTTTGCCTTGGTGTCCAGCTTGAAATGCTCCCACACTTTTGACATTTTCTGCCTTTTCTTTGTGCCTTTCTCTTCGCTTTCGTCGCCTTCTTCGTTATTACCTCTATCATCCATGGTTAACCAAACTGCTGCCTCTTTCCTCTTCCTTTATGTGCGTGACGTCAGTGCGTTGTGCCGCATTAAAAGTAGTCCCGGCGAAATACCATGCTTCAAACGATTCCCTGAGGCAGGGGAAATTCCTTGATCATTTTTGTAATCAAGTTACTTGCATTATTCAAGGAATCGTTTCAGCCCCAGACTTCAGTCAACATCTATAAGAATGGGACTATCATGGTCCAGGGGAACCTCAGGCAGTTTGAGCTGGACTTCCCCCTCATAAAGGAACGAGCCCAGCTGGAGAATGCCCCGTTTGATGACACCCCCAACTGCCCTCCTGCTGACCAGCCCTCTGAGAAGAGGGAGACCACCAGCGCTGAACAGGCCCAGGACCCTCAGCTGACCCACACCATCACTGACATGAAGGTGAAGTTCACTGACCTGGAGAGAGAGCTGGTCCAACTGAGAGAGCTCTTCAGCCATCAGCTGAGGAAGGAGGAGGTCCACATCCCCAGCACAGAGCTGAGCAGACTGAGACCAGACAGAGAACAGGACCAGGCTGAGCTTAGCAGACTGAGGACAGAGATCAGGGTGCTGCAGCAGCACCAGGAGAGTCACATAGCAGCACTGAGCACCCTGACAGAGGAGGTGAAGGAGCTGAGAGAGGAGCAGAAGCTCCAGGACAGAGGTAGACTCCTCCCAGGACAGCTGGAATCACACCCAGACCACAAGCAGGACGCTGGGAGCCCAACCCAGAATCACCACGACCAAGAAACTTCACCCACCTAGCAGCTCCCCCCAAGTTCACAGACCAGCAATTTTCCCATTCTGTTCACGCTGCTGCCCAGGAGAGACTTCCACCCACACACCATCCACAGGATCAAGAGCAGCATCCCCAAAGACCTAACATCCACCTGGCCCGCCACCCCACCCTGGACATCAGCTGCCCCTATGACCATGTGTACCTCTTCAAATACACCGTCCCTATCTTCGCCCGGACACTGAAGGATGTTGCCCCCCCCACCCCCCCCCCTCCAGACCATCTCCACAGGGACTCCACCAGGGCAGCTCCGAACCCCCCTCACACCCGCCCAGAGCCCCTCCAGTGCCCAGGAGTTCCACCCCAGCACCATCACCAGGAGCCAGGCCCTGGCACACCGAGCTACGTTCAAATTATGAGGAGAGCAGCAGACCTCCCCCCCCCCCCCCCCCTTACCCTTCCGCCCTCTACCCCCACCCCTACACCCCCACACAGTCAGCTGAGAGACATCCAGCACATGGTGAGCCTGCTCTGCTCACATCTGATGGGACAAGTACAGTTGACAAACCTAGAGTACATTATTATTTTATTTTATTTGTATTTATTCATTAATTAATTTATATATTCATTCTTCTAATTTAAGGGTTATTGTAATTAGAAAAGATTGAAACTAATATCTACAATGCTTTAGAATTAATCTCTTCATTGACAGTGGGATTGGGAGTTTATCTCATTTTAAATACTGAATGCATCTTTTTGAATTTTAAAGTTAATGCAATTTAAATCGTTTATTATTTCATGTTGGAACATCCAGGGTCTGAGGTCCTTGGCTTTTGGCCCTAAGAGCAGGACCCAACAGGCAATTACAAAAATCAGATATCATTGTACTGCTACCACTGGAGACTTGGAGTAGAGGAGACATGCCCACTGGTTGTCCTTTAGGCTAAAGAGAAGTCATTTTTCCATTTACCAAACTGAAGAGTGTAAGCCAAGGCAGAGCTTCAGGGGGATGTTGATCTGGTATAAGACAAACCTCACACAATCAATAGAATTAATCAAAAACAGAGATTTTCAATTTTTCAATTTGGTTTTGTCCACAGACAAAGACCTATTAATGTGTGCAGCCTATATCCCCCCATCAGAGTCCCCTTAATATAACGAAAACACTTTCCCCGTTCTGGAAGACAAGATCAGCTGTTACCAGACACAGAGAAATGTGCTGATCTGTAGTGACCTTAACGCCAGAACAGACACAGATCCTGATTCAATTAATGCACAGGGTGACCAACACATACCTGGTCAGATCAGCATCCCTCCTCCTCCACATCTGCACTGAAACAACTTTGATAAAACTGTCAACAGAAGTGGTCATCAACTGCTGCAGATGTGTCGCACACTGGGTCTGTACATAGTCAATGGTCAGCTTCAAGGGGACTCCTTCGGTCACTACACACACAGCTCTCCTCTTGGCAACAGCATAGTAGACTATAGTATAACAGACCTGGAACCTCTCTATCTTAGGGCATTCACTGTCAGCCCCTTAACACCCCTATCAGATCACAGCAAAATCACCCTCTACCAACACCTCAAAGCCAGTGACCCCAGCTCCTACCACTACAAAGCCCTGCAGAGCAGAGTCAGGAGTACCATCAGCCAGCTGGTCCACAAGCTCAGCTCCATCAGCACCGAGCATAATCTGGCCCCCCAAACAAATTATACAAAAATCAAAAAGACAATTACATCAACTATTGGACATCTACAACCCAAACCCAAAGCAAACTTCAATGCTATCTGGCCCTAAACAGACAATACTCCATGGCAGATTACCTGAGTTAAGTAACTGACCCCAGACTGAGGAGAACCTTGACTGTGAACAGACTCAGCAACCACAGCCTGGCCATCGCCACAGGCAGACCTGGCTGCCCAGAGAGGAGCGGCTGTGTCGGCTCTGTCCTAACACACAGCTGAAGACAGAGCAGCACTTCCTGCTGCACTGTGACACATACACACACATCAGGACACACACATGCACCAAACTCACACATAACACCCAACTTCACCCAACTCACAGACCAGGAAAAGTTTAGACATCTCTAAGGAGAACAAAAGGCCACTGCTTTAGAAGCAATAAGATATGTAAATACATGTCTTTAAAAAAGAGAAGAAGAACTGCTCAAAATAACCTGAACAGCTGCTCTGGAGTTTTACTTGCAAACATGATAGTGTGATTATCTGTTCATTATTATTATTATTATTATTATTATTATTATTATTATTATTATTATTATTAATAATAATAATAATAATAATAATAATAATAATAATAATAATAATAATAATAATTATTATTATTATTATTATTATTATTATTATTATTATTATACTGATGATGATAATAATAATAATAATAATAAGAAGAAGAAGAACAACAACAACAACAATTATTATTATCGTGATTGTTGTTATTGTTGCTGTGTTAAAATGATATGGCATATATTGTAGTAGAGTTATGCCAATGTATCTCAATAAAATTGAAAATTGAATTGAGAGAGAGAAGAGACAAACATGAAACAGGAGGAAAAAGGAGCCATGAATACAGATGGGGAGAGAGAGAGAGAGAGAGAGAGAGAGAGAGAGAGAGAGAGAGAGAGAGAGAGAGAGAGAGAGAGAATAAGCAGGAAACAGAAGAGGTTTACAAGGTTTACAATCATTTGCTCCTCCTCCCCCATTCTTACATTTCCTGTCCTCTGTTCGACATGAGTCCCTGTGTCTGTTTCTGCATGGCCATGTTCCCATCTCTTTGTTTCCATTTCTGTTTATCTTCGTCTCTTCTTGTACCCCCAAAAAATGCAGAGCTGTGGAACAATTATGGAGCTGAACCTGCAGTACAAATTTAAAGTAATGTAAGGGCCAAAGGGAAAGAAGGGCCACAAAGTCAACCTGCAAAGAGTGAGACTTTTAGTCAAGGAGCAGATTCTGGGTCCCTCAGATCCTCCTGATCAACTAGAAATCAATATGTTTATCAGAATAAGACTGACTGACTATAGATCCGTCTCATGTGGGGTTCCACAGGGCTCAATACTAGGGTCTCGGCCTTTTCCACTGTATATTATTTAATAAACTCATGCTCATCTAACGTCCCCAACCAACTAGTTTTCTCATGTCAAACTACCAACTAGTTTTGATGTGACAAACCAACAAGTCTACTGTCTGGGTTTACTAAAACAAAACCAACTACTTTCCCTATATCTATTCAATGAGTCCACCCACACCAAACCAACTAGTTATCCTATTTCTATCTAATTACAGTTACCCACATCACATTACTAGTTTCCTTATTTCTAACCAGTAAGTTCACTCAGGCCAGTCTTCTGGTATCAAACCAACTAGTTACCAGATCCAAACCCTCTCTTTCCAGGTTCCTAATTAGTTTGTTAGCCTTTGTCAAAGCAGCTAGTTTTTATCTGCAAAACCAACAAGTATGTCTACCCAATAAATCCACCTCTAGTTTTTAGAGTTTGACTTTTTTTTTTCTTTAAATAAAAGGTTCACCTGTTATATTTCCAGTGCACAACCAATTTGTTTGCTTTTCCTGAACAGTAAATTTCCCCTTGCCTTACAAATAAATTTCATCAAGCTTTCCCTTTACTCATTCATCTAATTCAATAATCTCATTAGTTAATTTCTCTAATTGCTGAATTGACTCATTTTTCCTGTGAATAACCAGCAAGTCCGCCATCGCCCCACCAACCAGATAGATTTTCTCTCTTTTCCTCTGGTTTCTCTCTTTGTTCACTTTCTTTTTGCTTCAGCTCTCATACACACTTTTCCTTGTTGCAGTCCCTAAGAATCCAGAGATGATAGGACACGGGTCGCCTGAGAGTTTGACCTCCTATTCTTGGAGATTTTTGCTGCTGCTTCTTCTTGTATCTACATACTGTATATCTCTTCTTGTCATCAGAAGCATGAAGTTACCTGGACATTTTCACCTGGACATGTTCACCTGTGACTCTTCAGACCAAAATCAACTTTAGAGATGATTTCTTACTTTGAGAATGACTAACTCTTGGTCAGATGAAAACGACTTGAGAGAGCTGTCATCTCTTTGAGTTTTCTGTGATAAACTTCCTCTGACATGATTTTTGAAGCTGGTTCAGATTCGCTCTTTAAACAAAGTCTTGTGCTCTTTGATAACTTCCCTCCGCTCGCTGCTTTTTCTCTTTGGTTAGAGCAAGATATCAAACAGACTGGCTGGTATTTGGACCACTGAACTGTGTGATAAAAACACTTTAACTACTGAGGGAGAAAACATGTTTGGATGCTTTTTCTAAACCTTTTCAATCTCTGCATGCACTTCCAATATGACCTTTTTGTCGCTTTAAATATCTCTGAAAAGTCAAACATCATCATCAGCAGCAGAAGCCTTTTAATGACAACAGTTGAATCAGTGAACAAAGAAACTAAATGAAGCCATATTTTTTATTTTGAACGAGCATTTAAAAAAGATCATTGAGTCTATGAAATCTTTCCCTTTTATTTTAAACACTTTATGTAAATATCTGAACCTAATCAAAGACTGATCCACTATCTGTGTCTTAGGAGGAGAGTATTCATGTGTTTGTGTCTCTGATATGAATAAACTGTCAAATGTGCGCTTCAAATTTTAAAAAAAGATAAAAACTGACTGTGGGCATGAAGATGCTGTTTCCCTCTGGAGTCAGTCTCATTAGAGTTTACAGCAGTTCAGTTATTTAACCACCAGTTATAATAATATGAGCCCAGTTGTCTGATCAGGTGACATATTGATTTGTTTTAGAGACAGATAATATGAAGATAACATTTGCTTTGTAAAAAAAAAAAAAAAAAGGATTTTTTCCTGTAAAAAAAGATTGTATCAGTATCAAACATCACATTTAGGGACTGGGACTGTGAGGATTTGTCACTGTGGAGTTTGGCGCCCCCTGTGGAATCTTTGTGCATGTCAGGGTGTGGAGGTAGTGGGGGCTAAGCGCTTTTTAAAAAAAAGTTG